GCATCGCGTCCGAGCTCCAATGAACCAACTTCTAGCCAAAGACCAACCATGGCATTGGTCGACAGAATGCCAGAACGCCTTCGATTGTGTCAAATCAATGCTCGGCTCAGACCTGCTCCTGACACATTTTGACCCAGCACTTGATATCATCGTGGCACCCGATGCTTCAAACAGCGGAGTTGGTGCGGTCATCTCTCACACACGTGAGAAATGAGCCATTACCTTCATACCTAACCCACATCTTATACTAAAAGGGAAATAAATTATTCCCCTGAGCATTTGGCCGGGCTCCGTAACGTTCTACCGATTTTACTGTTTTACAATGCTCAACTCTCTCTTGCGAAAATCTTAGTGATTATCTTAAATTCTGCTACGACCAATGATTCCCTGTTGAAGCTACTTCCATAAGAACTGGTAGGTTTACTACCTCCCCCTCCTTAAGCGACTGCATCACGACGAGACTGTACCTTGACGTGGTGTGATGGCTGGCGTGCCTCCATGAATCTGCGAGCTATATAGGATGGCTTTTCACAACCGTATGTATATCCAATCATGACTGAAAGGTCAATGGGTAGAGGCCAGGTGAAGATCAGTCTCACAAGACCAGCTGCTTGGGCACCTCCTGGCTTCCTTCATCTATCCACACCTGCTCCTGGAGAGGTCACTCTAGCAAACAAATACTGTGTGGGGCAGTTGATCGGTCAAAGAACCCCCGCTGGATGGACGTAGGAGCGAGGTACCTGGGGCTTCCTATCGACAGTGGGAGAAGTCTTCGCACTTCACTGGACAGCTATCGCCCGCCGAAGCCGGGCCGCACCCTGCCTGTAAGGTGCTTTCCTATCCACGTTCCGCTTGTCTCATTGGGTGCATGAGACTCAGGGCCGATCCCGAAAAGCGGACCGATAAGCAACGCATTTGATAGAGTTGTTCTCATTTATTTCAGTATCGAATTCGTCTCCTATCTTTTGTTTGATTGCAATTCGTTTTATTTAGCTCCTGTACATGTTCGTAACTTGCTGAAGATTTACCCTTTTGGTACATAAAGCGTTTCTTGACTTGACTGAGAACAAAAAGACGAAAAAATGACTACGAAATATGTCCTTTACACCTCCAAATTAGGTAAAAAAAATACAACTAATGACGCATGTGTTCTGGAGATTCATACTTCCGAAGGGATATTATTTTGGTAAAAATTGGTCACTGCCACGGCACTTGAAGTTACCGCCGCTCACGTGGTGCACATTTTCAAAACACAACGCTGTCAGACTGAGTCGTGATTCTGTGATAAACCTCACCATAAATCAAAAGAGGAATACACTTGTAATTCAAAGACAATTTAGATGCAGGAGTCTCCATAAATTCTTAGATAAAGGCAAACATTCCTGATGTAAAAAAAAAACAATCAAGCAACGTGGGGTCGCCTACCGTAGTCCCCTAAATTTAACACCGCGTGAACCACCCGGTACAATGTTTTCATCATTTGTAGGATTATGAATAACTGTGAATTATTCTTACCACTACCTGTCACACTCACTGAAGTATAAGGATCGTACAGATGCAATCAAGCTGTGAAAAGATGCGATGTGTACGGTGACTGATGCAAGAAGGATAAGAACCTGTGCGACGAAGCTGAGTAACAAAGTGAGAAGCTGCAAATGACATGTTGTTGCCACTGAAAATAAAAGTGAACAATATAATACATGTTTGTTAGTGAATGAATCTCAAATAAATCTTGCTCTTCAGATGGAGTACTGTTAACAACACCCCCCACTGTATCCGAGTACCATTGTTAAGTATCTTGACAAGTGTGCCGTTGAATTCCAGAAATATTCAGGCCATCGCATGACTTGGTTCAAATGAATCGATGATATTCGGGGAAACCGGTGTCGTAATGTAATTTACTCACTAGGCTATTGGGCGCCTAGAGTGAAACAATTCATCCAATGAATC